CATCTGTGTATGTGTGTACGGGATCTGGGTATCGTCTGTGAATAACCCAGACCCCACCATCTCATGATTGTATGTGTGTGGAGTGATGCCATGTAGGTCAGTCTATGTGAGTCAGTCTATGTGAGTCAGTTCGTTATCAGACTTCCGCTGCATAAATGGTCATCCTATATTGGTTGATCTTTGGTTCTGCCCATACTCATTGAAGTATGTAACAGGTACACTGTTTGCACGTACAGATACACTCTTACCCGAACAGACATGACATACACATCTCCTGATGAACAGGTAGGTCTTTTGACAATGCCCTTTGCCTTAGATTTAGATGTGCCTGTTGATAGAGAACTTGACCTTTGACCTGCTTTCACGTTTCTGAGCCCTGGCGAGATACCTTTCCAGAATGCCTTGTAAAAGTAAAGCATTGTGGAAAGGTATCTCGCCAGGGCTCAGAAACGTGAAAGCAGGTCAAAGGTCAAGTTCTCTATCAATAGGCACATCTAAATCTAAGGCAAAGGGCATTGTCAAAAGACCTACCTGTTCATCAGGAGATGTGTATGTCATGTCTGGTAGGGTAAGAGTGTGTCTGTACGTGCAAACAGTGTACCTGTTCGTGCAAAGGAATGTGTCTGTTCTTTTAGAGTTGTGCCTGTCCGAAAGTAAAGTCAATAGGCACAGTCCCAGTTCTGGTCTAAGTCAAGGGGTCAGTCCAGATCCAGACTTTGAAGTCCAAATCTAGGCCGAGAGGCCCCAGCAGCAGTCGAACCTCATTGGGACTATACTGGGACACATGCAATGCAGGGTCTGGGACAAAGGACAGGCTGAATTGAGCCAATGCAGACCCAGCGAGGAGTGGCCAGCACTATAAAGAAAGCTGCCAGCCTCATTCCTCGCCAGATCTCCACTGGCTGCAGTACGTGAAAGTGCTGGTGCACTTGTGCGTTGAGTCAGGAGGAGCAGCGCTGGAGGTAAGAAGATGCGCTGATTGAAGGAAGAAGCCTGTACGCTGGAAGTGATGCAGCCATAGCTGCCCAGCGAGTTAGCCTTAGTAGTAGAGGGTTAGTATGTAGCTATGAGTAGTATCCAGAGTAGTCCTCATGAGTGAAGAATGTGTATGCATCGTAGGAGTAAGGGACTGAGGCTGAGAGTGTTCATTCAAGGTTCGGCTATGGAAGATACTTACCTGAGTTGGATGTGATCTGCAGAGGTGGCGCTGATGAGTAGTGACCACATTGATGACTTGGAGACTATCTGCAGGAGTAGCGCTGATTCACTGGAAGTTATATTGATGAGTTGACAAGAGATTGGGGTTGCGCTGATGAGCGCTGGACTCAGGGGAACTTTGAAACACTTTGTAATCATATTTCTGATAATATAAGCTGTGAAACTCGGTCCTCTTCTTCTCTACCTTTGTCTATGGTTGAGTCTATTGATAACTGTGTGTGAAGATGATGCATGACATGTACACATCTGCGTGAAATGGTCCCCAGGACCCATGCATGGGGTGTGTTGTATTCAAATACAATGTACGTACATTAAACGAGTTTTAGGGTGCAACTTTTCGGAAGCCTGTAGTAACGCTGTTGTTCTTTTTTTTTTTTTTTCCTCGAATCTGGTTGCTAACTGGGTAGTGTTTTTTAACCTTTTTTTTTTTTTTTTTTTTTTTTGCTAACTTGGTAGTTTTCACCAGAACCCTTTAGGCAAAAGTTGTTTGTAACTTTGTATTGCAATTTTCTACAACATACTTTTTTTTTCGGATTTTTTTTAAGTTCTTTTTTGAGAAATCGGAATTCTAAAAACGTCAGAAAAAAACAGAAAAAAAGAATGTCCCCACTGTAAAAAATACTTTTATTGTCGTTGTTAATGTTTTCCTCGAGATTGGTTGTGGATTTTGGCAGGACCCTCAGGCAAAAGTCGTTTGTAACTTTGTATTGCAATGTCGTACAACATTTTCTTTTTCCGGATTTTTCTGATTCTTTTTCAAAAATCGAGATTGCAAAAAACTGAACTACACAATCATTACAGTTGACATACATTGTATATGACCGCATGTAAAAAGAGCGATTTTTAAGTCTGATTTCCAGAGGTAATTCGAATAGAACATACGTACGTACGTTTTTTTCGTGTTGAGAAGGTAGCACACCAATGGAGAGTTCGCAGGCAGTGGTGGTATCATTTCAGGCCGATCCGAGCGTAAATAAAGTTTAATCATACATGCAAGCAGACGCCGTGTGGAAAATTCCACACATTTGGCGCACGCGCGGACCCGCATGGTGCTGCGCATGGGGGAAATATTCACTCGGAAAAAAGGGGGATCCCATGGCTGGGTCAATGGTCACCTGCATCTCCTTTAAAGCTGTGTCGTGCGAATGGGGGGGGGGGGGRGSGGGRGGGGGGAGATAGCAGGAGGGTAATGTTGCTACCTAAAGGTCACACAAGACTGATGTCCCAGACACCTTTATGAGGCTATTTCTCATGCCCAATTGGACGGGAAGAAAAATCTGTACGACAGTACTTGAAAAGATCAGTTCCTTAGGTGTTGCACTCTTCTGTATCTACAAAAACAGCAAAAAAAAGACCCAAGCAAAGACCCAAAAAAGACCCAAAAAAAGGGAAACTGCCACTGGTACACACATGAGCAGGTACCGCGCCGCCCGCCGTGCGGCGCACCGGACGGTACAGCGCACGCCGCACGGTGCGGTTGCAAGTATGAGTTTAATAAACACAGAGACGCTAGGAAGGAGACAGGCTGAGTTGACAAAAAATTACGAGCATACCTTGAGAAGCACTGCAAAGAAAGGAAGATGTGGTATGAGAAGTGCCTTGTGCCGAACAGCGAGCTCAAGGCAAAACACTGCACAGAGGTAGAACGCCGGCAAAGTATCAGCAAAACAATAGGACGTTAGTTCTATTTCTGAAACAGATGGAAAGTCAATGAGGATGATTCCGACTCCCTTCATATAAGACAGATAACCGCAAATGCCTGTACAAGATTAAACAGGGAGTATCACTACCGTCTTCACCCAAATAAAACGTGCGGTCTGTATTTTGGGCAATGCTCAGTCCAGATGCAGTGATAATGACCGTACGTCAGGGTTGCATACCTGCCGACCCCCAACCCCGACCGCTGACTGTTTTGCAGCCGACCAGTAGGGGTGACCAGTCAGAAAACAGCCATCCACTGATTTTTTTTTCAGATCTGACTTGGGGGCTGTAGTGCGCTTGCTGAGTGCAGCCCAAATCAGCTGAGAAACTTTTGGGGATGGGGGGGGTGGTAGTATTCTGTCTCTTATACACATCTAGATGTGTATAAGAGACAGGGGGGTGTGCGTGGGGTTACTAGGGGTTTTTGTCTGTGTGGGGCGTACGACCCCCGACCGGTAGGTGCCGACCAGCCGCCCGGTCAGCAGCCGACCAGTTAAGGGCCGCCAACCGTCCGGGTATGCAACACTGCCGTACGTTCTATCTGGGTGAAGGCAGCCGGAAAACAACACAAGAAGAGAAAGAGGAAAACCACTAAGTTCAGGCTAACCCTGGCAGAGAATGGGACAATGAATGTCAAACCACCTGTCTGTTCGGAACATATCGTGGTGTGAATGGGTGGCAGCACCAGGACAAAAAAAAATAAAAGAAAAGCGCCCACTTGGGTTCGTTTTCTATTATTGGCGCACAGGAGAAATCCACTTTTTGGCGCTTGTCATTGCAGCAGCCTTCTGGCACTGGTCATTGCTGTTCACTGCTTCAAACTAACAACCATGCACTGAGAAGCAAGTGCCAAGTAGACTCCTGTATGGACATTTGGTTACAGAGAGGAGACAAGTCAACCCCATTTACATGAGCCCTCTCCTCCTCCCTTATCTGGGTCTTCATAACGCATCATCTTACCGTCTCAAAACCCAATATAGAACGGCCGGTCATTATAGCTGTGTTTTGGGAAACTTTCAGTCTAGACTTTAGATACAGCTATAATGACCGGGCATCCATTTAAATGAGGACAGTAGTCACAAACGATGTCAGCACTGCTTCTGCCCCCTACAGCTGGGGCATCACACTTCCCCTTTCCCCACATCCACAACATAGTAGCCCTCCCCCCTCCCTACTCACACTCAACTCCAGCATACGTCTGGCCATGTCGTATGACATCAATTCCCTGGTCTTGTATGACACTGGCATGCACCCCCTGCTCTATCACATTGCCTGCCTCACATAACAGCGTTTCCACAAAGCAATGGGGTTGTTCCATTCGTGGGTCAGCCGACTGGGTTTGTTCCCTTTGTGCGTCAGACGACTGGGTTTGCTCCATTTGTGTGTCAGACGACTCACAAGAGTCACAACATTGAAAGGGCAGTAACACAGTGAAGCAAACCCGTTCTCGCTTTGAGTGCCTTGAAGGTTAGGCTAGACGATGCCCGCCGATTGTGCTGCTCTGCTGGATGGTTGTGGCAATCTGATGATGATGTACACACAGCGACAGTGGTCCCCACCTGTTGACAGGAGGACAACCACAACGAGCCAACCATGGCCCCCCTCCCCCAACAATGCCAGCCTCGGGCATACAGGGACAGGATCTGCTGGATGACCGGATGAGAGAGAGGGAGAGGGAAGAGGGAGGAAGAGGGCAAGAGGGAGGCAGCTTGCGCTTGAAATGTTGCAGCTGTAATGAGCAGGTGGAGCACCAGCTCACAGGCAGTGATTGTTTTTTTAACTTTTTTTTAAATAAATGACGGGAAAACTGGGACACAGAATTCCATGGTTGCAGGAGAAGAGGGATGGTGAGAACGCGCAGAAGATGAGAGGTGGAGACCTTACACGACGCAGGGAGAACGGTGGACCCTGCAGCAGAAAGGACAAGGAAATCTTGGAAAGAAGATGCCAAGGGGAATGAAACAGAGGTGACCGGTGAACGCCCACGAAGCCAGAAAAACGACGGCAAGCAAACAGGTTTGTTTAATTCAATGGATGCAAGAGAAAGGAGGGATGGGGAAGGAAGGAGGGGACAATGGGGGGCAAATGAGTCGAGGGATTGGTGTTCATGTTTCAGTATCCTGAGCCCGGGAGCAGTCAAGCAAGGGAAAAAAAAGCTCACCAAATGCCGCGTTCTGCTTTTCTTTATCAGCACCATTGCTTAGAAGACGAACTGCGGAATGCAGTGATGAACCCAACGAGCAAGTCTGCACTCCAGCCAATACTTCAGCAAACAACCAAACACCCAAACAGTCAAACACCCAAACAGCCACACCAAACAGAGAGTCCAACGGCCACGCCACCCAAACAGCCAAACATCGAGACCGCCAGCCAAACAGCCAAAAAGCCAAACAGCTGCCCAAACAACCAGTCAGACAAACCAACACCCAAACAATCGGACGCCGAGTCAAACGGCCAACCAAACAGTCAAACAGCCAAACAGAGAGCCCGACAGCCAAGCACCCAAACAGCCAAACATCGAGACAGCCAGCCAAACAGATGCCCAAACAGTCAGCCAGACAAACCAACACCCAAACAGTCGGACGCCCAGTCAAACGAACCAACCAAACAGCCAAACAGCCAAACAGCCAAGCAGGTAAGCGGCCAAACAGCAAAACAGTCAAGGCAGCTAAAAGTCAGAGAGAACAAGCAGGTTGCTGGATTCCACCAGCGGGCCTACCGTCTTCACCCGAATAGAACGCCCGGTCATTATCGCTGCATCTGGACTGAAAGTTGTGCCAAATACAGCTATAATGACCGGGCGTTCTATTCGGGTGAAGACGGTAGCTCAGTTGGTACATCCGTGAACTGTTGAAATACGGACCCAAGTTCGAACCCAGATACTATTAGGTTGCTAGATTCCATTGCTTGAATTTGCTTCACTGAACTTATCATGTGATGATTGTCCATTTGTCATCCAAAACTTTAAATAACCTAAAGAGAGTGTAGTAAAACGAACGAGAGAGAAGTCCACACTTGCTATGTCCATTTTATGAACTTCAAATGAAACCATTGAAATGAGCATGGCCGCAATTGCTCCTCAAAACACGCCAGCGGCCCAGTGCAGAGAATAGTATACTGGATTGTGGGTTTACCCTAACATGATTAACATTCATCCAGCAAAACAAACCTGCCTCAGAGCGTACTCACACCATCACTTTTCTAAATGCATCTGATGGTAATTACAGCCGGACCTGGATGCATCTGACCACAATCACTTCCAGAGACGAGTCTAGAAAGTCTTAAGTGTGAGTATGCCCTCAAAGAGGCAGTTGAAGGGATAGCGGGAGTGAAGAGTGCAGATGGGTACAACTTGAGGACGAGAAAACACCACCCACCATCATTCCCACCCATCACCTCCTTACCTCTTTTTTTTTTTTCTGCCATTGATCACCTCTCCCTCCCTACACCTACTATCTCTCACTAAAATACATGACCACTGTGACTGTATTCCAAGCAAGATAAAGACAATAACGCTTTCATGCCTCCGCATGCCGCCTCCTCCTCCTCTGAGGGCAGATTCACACTAGGACTTCCTCCGATGTCTACGACTGCAATGACGGCTGAACACAGTCAACACAGTCCTAATCTGAGTTTGAGACAAGGAAGAGAGGTGGTACACCTGCCTCATGGTTAAGATGGCATTCGGTATTTAACTACAAAACGTCTGTTTATCAGTTAAATTTTTTGAATTAAAATGATAAAATCCTATTCGACGCAACAACTCCCTCTTTTCTGAAAGAAAGAAAGAGGGAACTGGCACTAACAAGTGACTCAAGCAAGTAAGAGACATAACTATGCGCCGCTCCCACCCATCACGCACCCTCGTCTCATTTCTACCTATGGTCATGCTAGGGTCCAGACCTATTGCCCTTCCCCGTATAGAACGCATGGCCATTATAACCATACCCAAGCAACTCCCATGATAGATACTGCGGTATTGCCCATGTGCTCTGAGACAAACATGACCAGAAGCACCCTGCGCACTCCCTGTGGCTGAACGACACACGCATGAAGCTGTTGAAAAATAGATAACGCGTTCACCTCCTGACCAAATCAGATGCATACAGTAATGATAGGGATTACTCTCTTCAAAAAAAAAAGTAGAAGCAACGACACACCATGCACGGGCAGACGAGCACACAGGAGGAGGCCTGGAAACGATTCATGCAGGCCTTGGAAATCGAATACCAAGCGGGCTGGCACAGGGCAAGGACACAAATCAGGGAGGATCCGACCAAGCAGCAGGACATCACAACCAAATTCGTGAAGGATACTTGCGGGAAGTGGAAAGCTCAGCTCACTGACGAACAACATGCTCAGGCTGAGGTGGCAGCCTGGGAGAAGGGGTGGAGCAGCAGGGAGCCCGATCGGGAAGGCCCGGTCGGGGCTCAGTGGGCTGGCAGCCGCAAGCGTTAGTTTAGCATCACACTGAGACTAAAGGCAGAAGGGCCTTGAGTTGATATTTGCAGCATTTGGGTGGAAAAGGAATGATAAAGTTGGGGGGGGGGGGACGAGGTTGGTGTCAAACGTGTGGGCATGACTGTCAGTTAATCCTTCCTAAGCGGACCAATCAATGTTGACAGTGGTCTCCCGGGCCGTAACGCGTGGAGTCCATGTATTTTTCCTCAAGGAACACCGGGCCTGCTTCCCAGCAGATGACACCCTCCACCAATAGACCAGGGCTGTTATATTAAAAAAGAAGGAAAAAAAAAGTCCTGGCAGAGCTAAACTCCTAGCGGTTGGCTTACATAACCCCCCCCCCCCCCCCCCCCCCCCTCTTCTCCCGAACGGTCCAAGGCAGCTGTGTATGGCCCCCTTTCATAAAACAAGGGTCGGCCGCAATCCAATCCACCAAAATAGAACCATCGAAGGCTGAAGCACAGTCCATTCCTAACTCATAAACTGTCATAGTTGCAAGCAACCAAAGTCAAACCGACACAGAACAAGGCCTAGGGTCGTAAATTTTGGCCAAGATAAATTTAGAGGCTCCAAAGGTGGTCCTGCAATCTCTACAAACTAGTACAAAATCTCTAGGAAGTCCTTAGGTCAGTAGGCCCGGGGTCAAGGGTCAGTTCGAGATACCCAGGGTCTCTTGATATCAAAGTAGGCCCAACAAGTCAGGCCCCCACCACAGCACATAAGTCAACGCGTCAAAGATTTCTCAAGAGTCGACCACGACCGCAGATCACACACAATCCACAGGCTCAGTACAGTTTGCGGATGCTTCCAGGGCTCACCGGGTCAAGGCACTCACTGGCCACAAGAAATCTTGGCAGCACACAGATCGGGAAACCTCAGCCACTCAAGGAGACAACCGGAGGCTACCGTCTTCACCCGATATAGAACGCCCGATCATGGTAGCCATATTTGGTGCAATTTTCAGTCCAGATACGGCTATAATGACCGGGCGTTCTATTCGGGTGAAGATGGTAGTCAGGCCACGTCAAAGCTAGAAATACCGTGCCCGTGTGGTCGACAAACACATATGGAGAAATGGACCCAATTGTCCAATTGAGAAATGGATCAAACGGTCCAGTTTTCTTTTCATTTCTTCTTTTACGAAGGGGTTGCGGCGGGTGGAAGGATCAGGCTCTCTATAGGACAGCCAACCTGGGGGGGGCGACTGGTCACCGTAACTCCCTACCATCCTTCCCTATACACACACAACTCCTTAGGGACTTTCATCCCCGCTTTGTGAGTCTCAGACTCTTATCCACTGCACTCGGTCAAGGATTGCCCTCCCAAGGCGGGCGACAAACTCCGCACACCCAGTCCCTCTGGGTGCAACCCCCCCCGCGCCCCCTCCCCAAGAATCATTACACTGGCAAGGACCATTGGCTTGGTGAACAGTGGACTCCAGACCCGCTCGACCGCGTTTATCATAGTCCCTTAGGGGCCTATTGTCCCATATATATCGACCATGTGGCATCTATACGTCTATTTGGTCTGCCAAGTAAGTGGGGTCCCTTTTCAACGCTATACCATGAAGCCCAACACCCCCCTCTCTCAGTACTACGCTAATCACAAGGACCAAATGGTCCAGGTATTCATGGTACAGTCATTCCACAGCTAATGTGCCCAATCCCATTTAAAACTCAGAGTGGGGGAAAGGAAAAATGCAAGCCTCGTCAGAACAGTGGGATTAAATCAGAGATACCATGAACATATGCTACACAGTTGGTGATAGCGGCAATGGTACACCGTCGAAAACAACCACGGATGGATATACGAAACTCAAGACTCGCAAGGCGTTAAATAGTCACAGGTGACAAGACGTTAAATGTGGACTTCAAAAAAGGAAAGAAGATGTATGGATTTTGCAGTGCCGTTTCAAGAAACATGAAATGGTATGCATAACTTCAGCAAAAGGCAGAAAAACTTAGCTCAGTTGGTACACCCATGAACAGTTGAAATACAGATGGAACCAGCTGAATGAATTTCTGAATTACCACGGGGGGCGTAAGTTCCATGATGATATCTCAAGGCCGTCACCCTTTTTTGGGGAAAAAAACAACAAAGGCCAAAGGTCTATGGAGTTCAGCACTGCGGTCTCGGGACCACCCAAAAAATGTTGTACTTGAACCACCAGTACCTCCACGTCTTTAGGCCATTACCGCAGTGGCTGAATCGGTGCGCCGCACGGGTCCATATGCATTTGCGTTAGAGCCTCCCCAGAGGGGTCCTAAGACCCCCTGTGGTACTGGTGGTTTAACTTCAGAAAGATGTAAGGGTTGGATCACCCAGGACTGGAACTTACCATGGCAGGAAACCTTTCAGTGACAACTTCAATTGCCCACTCTGAAAGAGTCGCCAGCCATAACTTTCCGACAAGCAGCAGATGTATGGGGTTTTGAACTGCCCCCTCTTGGGAGCACCAAACATTATGTTATGGATAACTTCAAAGAAATGTAGGGGGGATTCCAGAAGATCGACCGAGGGAAGAGGGAGGGGAAACGGGGGGGGGGGGAAGGTTGCAGCACCATGGAACTTACCATGGCAGGAAATCTTTCTCCTGGAGCATCAGCGAGAACTTCCATTGCCCACTCTGAAAGCGTCGTGGAGCTCGATCCCAAACCAGATGAGAAGGACGGGCCCACGGCGGACATAACAGAAACTGGGAAGGCGAAGTAAAGTCCCAGCAGCAGCTCTTGAGCCGACAAGGAAATGTATCGCCTTTGCAGACTTTCCTCGAGAGAGCTTTCAGCTGTCGCCTCCATACACTGATCCAGAGATTGAGCCATGCTCGAACGCCTGAACAAGTCAACCTCAATGCTGCTCACTCCCTTGTCTTGTTTATCGAATGTGCCACTGCCATCATTACCATAACCCTCCTTCCCAAGAGCACACCTGCATCATGCGCAATGAACACATTGATGGATAATTGAGGAACCTCACTCTCCACCTGTTCAAATAAAGAAAACTGCGCGCATCGAATGTGTAGCAAGACCTGTAATTCATTCATCATTAAGCCAGAAGTAAGAGCAATGATAAGGAGATCGATCATTATACTCCATCTCTATAGCAATTTGTTGCACATCTTTCAGATCAAGAGAGACGTGACTGGGTGTTAGAGGTTTGCCGAATTTGCCACAAATTTCCAAACGTAAGAGACAACGGAGTGTGCTATATGATTATCCAATTTAAATTTATCCTTCAAAAAGATGGGGGCGGCGGAGGGCTGGAGAGAAGAAGACTCACCTACCACACCACGCTTGCAGCAAAAACAAAAAATAATCTAGGCTACTGGAGTGGCTCGGGACCACTTGCCCGGCCGGGCCAAAAATATCTATATATAGACGATGAAACAGTTTGTCACAGCCCCTCGTTCGTTGTCCTCTTCTCCCTCTCTGCCTACAGTTCACTGGGCAGCTCTGTTTGACTATATATAGACGAAACAGTTTGTCACAGCCGCTCGTTTGTTGTCCTCTTACCAGGCAGCTCTGTTTGACGATATATATAGATGATACATCGTCAAACAGAGCTCCCCGGTAAACTGTAGGCAGAGAGGGAGAAGAGGACAACAAACGAGGGGCTGTGACAAACTGTTTCATCGGAGTTTCACCGACTCATCAGGAGGCTGAACCCTCAACAGTCTGCAGAATCCCCTAACTGATTACATCATTACACTGTAAGTGATAATCCACCTTAACCCCGGCTGTGGTTAAGCATCAACGACTGCCCGACTACATATATTTTTATTTATTTAAATTTGGTAAAGAATTTTGATGTGACCCTGAGGCAAAAGTTGTTCAGTTTATTTTTCTGCATAACATAGTTTTTGTCGGGTTTTTTTTTTTTTTTTTTTTTTTTGTTGGGACCTTCCCTTGTCCTTGCACGGCCGGGCCGTCCGGAAAAACATGGTGACCCGGGCGGCCCGGCTGGTAGCCTAGAAAACAATAATATAAGCAAAATGATAAACCATAAAGCGATGATGAATAGACAAAAGCACATGAATAGTTAAGAGGCATCCGGTCCGACACAGTCATGATGAGGGTGTGTTGTGTTCGAGGGAAGACAGTAGTCAGGTAAACTTCACCAGATTTTTCATAGCCACCTAGGCTACCAGCCGGGCCGGCCGGGTCCCGGGTGGGCAGCCCGTGCAAGGATCAA